ATACGTCGGTGCATCTCGCACCTACATAGACTCAAATATGTATATATATTGCGAGACATATATACGTATACATACACGCACACATACCTATGAATATTCAACTAGGACTTTGTACGGTTTCGGATTCAATAGAATGCGAGAAGAAGAGGTATAGCGCAAGCCCGCGAGCGGCAAGGTGGCAAGGGGCTTCAGTCTGCATGCGGAGAGACAAGCTTACACATCAAAAAAGGAGGTCGTACGCGCGATTGAGAAATGGGATGCTCTCGAAAGATATACACGTATGTGTGTGCATGCACACAGACAGGAATAGATGTATATATATATATATATATATATATATATATATGTATGTATATGCCTTTCGAAGCCGTGGAACAAGGTACACGTATGCATGTGTATATATGTTTACGTATATATATATATATATATATATATATATATATATATGTACGTACACGTGGACGGTCACGCAAACAAAGTTGAATGTCTATGCCAGCTCAAGAATTCGGCAGAGGTACTGGGTGTGATTGTACATGCTCGCAGTCGCAAACGAGGATATATTCATGTAGGTATACGTAGAGCAAGAGATGGAGAGAGATACAGACATATATATATACATATAAAATTCGAATTATCCCGTTCATCTGGAAGCGACACCCGCGGAAATGCATATATATACATATATATATATATATATATATATATATATATATGTATATACGAATGCATATGTATATACAGGTCGAACCCTCTCTCAAACAAATGTAATCTGTCTGCATACATACGCATGCTTTTGAATCTTCTCCTCACGGCCGGAACACAAGGCATGTGCGCTGTTACAGGCTGGCACATACAAAAATAGACAGCGTACGTGCCTCCCATATATGCGTTGTACGCTGATGCATACTTTTTTCCGTCTATGGAAGCACAGACGTATACAAATATGTTGTCCACACTAGGCACACAGCGCACTAGCAAAAGCTAGCTTTTTGTGGTAGCACCGATGTACATAGATAAGCACCCAGCGTCTACAGTGTACACACCAAATACATTCAATAGTTCCGCCTGTCAGTATATGTACATATATATACACATATCGATGCATATATTCATCCGACGCATACTATACGTGTTTCGCCTTCCTACCTCTGAATCTGCATGGCCTTCCAAAGCTGATCATTCCAGGTGAAAATAATTCAAATAGATGCACACCGGAGCAGCAAACTACTGAAGACTGATGTGCAGGCGCATGTGTAGTTGTATGAGGGTGAGTGTACATAACACATCTACATACATGACATAGTATGTTTTTCACAGTTGCGCCTTTTAGTATGCGTATACAGATATATTTTCTTGTATATATATGTTAAATCGCCCTCTTACGTCTAAACCCTCATGACTTTCCAACGCCGTTAGTCTAGATGGACTCTATTCGGATAGAGACGCCCGGGACTGCTGAAAAACTGCTGCAGATTGACTGCCAGGCGCGTGTGTCGTCGTACAGGCGTGTGTGCGCGTAAGACATCTACGTATCGTATGCTTCTCCTATTTTTCGCCTTCCAGTATGCATATATATATATATACATATGCGCTCTATATATGTAAGGCGTGTATGTAGTTAGCTATAGCATCTTCTTATCTCCGGACCTTCGTGAGTATTCAAGGCTGGCAAGTCTAAATGAAGTTATGCAGAGACAGCCGCGTGCACTAACAAGCCTTAGGCGATGCTGTAGACTAATGTCAAGCGCGTCTGCGATTTTATGAGTATTTGTCTATGTGTGTGACATTTACAAACATGTATGACAGAATACGTCCCCAGCATTTTCGCCCTTCACTCGGCAAATATATATGTGTATACATATAAATATATATACATATACATATATACATACATGTAAATATGTATGTATATATATATACATATATATGTATATATATACATATGTACACGCATATATATACACGGCTGTATGTACAATGTGTACGTCTGTAGGTATCGCCGCCACGTGTGTTTGTAATGCTACGAGTGCGTGTGTGTGTGTGTGCGCGTGTGTGTGTGTGCGTGCGCGTGTCTGTGCGTGTGTGTGGGTGTGTGTGTGAACGAGAATTCTACACGTGCGCCAAATATGTCCTTAGTATCTTCGCCGTCCACTGAGCATATATATTAGCATATGCGTACACGCACATATATACAAGTTCAGTGTGCACGTGTATAGATTCCGAAGCCCCGTGCGTCTGTAATGGTACGAGTGCGTGTGCGCGCGCGTCTAAGACATATGCGTGTATGACAGAATATGTGCCCAGTATTTTCGCCTTCCACTAAGAATATGTACCTATATATATATATATATATATATATATATATATATATATTGTATATACACGTATACATGTCTCTACATATGTACTATGCGTACGTGTACAGATACTGATGGCTTCCTCTTCTCTCTGGCCCTTCAAGACTTTATAAAAGTAAATCTGAGGAGATCTATCTTGAGGGAGGCAGTGATAGAAGATGCAGTAGATTGATATCCATTGCGTGTGTGTGGTTTCATGAGTGCGTGAGTGTGTGTAATACATCCACAGTATGACAGAGTGAGACACGTGTTTTCGCGCAGCGGCTGCCTTGCACACACGAATACGCGGCTACCTAGAGCCAGAGGCGAGACAACAGGAAGAAGAAGTGTCTTATTTGGACGTTTGCACATAGCGTACCACTCGGAAACACGCCTGTGTGTTGTTTTCACTGTACGTATGTGAAAGAAGGCGGTGGGACTCCTGCACCTTTGTGCAGAAGAAGGACCTCTTATCCAGGAAGGAAAGTGTCACACATACGAACATTATTGACTGTAGAGACTGTACGTGAGAACGAATACAGTACTACCGGTACCACCTACGCTACTACTGCTGCTCCGACAACCACTACTACTACTAGTACAACTACTACCGTTGCTACAAATACTACTACTGGAACGCCTACTGCTGCTCTAAGTATCAGCCGTGCCACTACTGCTGTTAGTACTAATCCTACCGCTATTACTAATACCACTACTATTACCACTGATACTACTACGGATCCTGCTAACGAGGGGTAGAAACGTCTCCGAAGGGCCAGAAGGTGGTCTGTGCAGTGTGTCAATTCATATCCGCAGCCGCCGGAACCTCAGACAACTCAGGCAGCAGCCATATTTTTTTTAGTAAAAGAAGAAAACGTACGTAACCGCGTACATGTACAGACATCGATCAGCTACGTTGCGCATGCAGCAGACCTTTTCCTCAGGTGTGCATGCAAAGAGAGACAGAGATCCGCGTGTCTGACGGCGCGGGGGGCGGCCCACCTGCATTATTTTCCTTCAGTTACAGAAAATACAGACGTGGAGGAGCTAGACGCGACTTCTTTCCTCCTCTACTGGTGTGTAGAGTTATTTGGTTTGGGGATCTGTAGATGGATACGCCTGATGGTTGCCGATTCTTGCTCAGGTGCTCTAGCCTTTATAGGGATGCACGCTTGCCTGTGGTCCTGCTCTATGGATACTAGCAAGTATAGGCTTGCTTTAATATAGCTACCAGTAAGTACATGCAAGGACTATAGAGGCACACAGGTCAACAGAGAAGTTGAGCCAGGCGCAGCGTTTTTCTCTTCCACTCGTGAGAAGAGTTCCCTGGTTCGATTTTATGTAGAAGGATGTATTAGTTGACACGCGCTGCTTCCTCGTAGGCTCAAGACTCCCGACGAACGCTTGTGCACAGGCCTGCTTCAGTGCTACTAGTTAGTGCAGCGCGCTGGCACTACACAGACACACGTGTAACCAGAGAAGTGAAGAAGGACGCAGGCTTTTCCTTCTTCCACTAAAAGGCAGAATTATTTGGCTTGATGGCTGCCGCTGCTTCCTCAGAGGCTCGGGACTTCCGCACCCGTGCGTAGGCCTACCTGATAGCTACTAGCAGGTACACGGCAGTAGTCATTAGGCACCCCGACGGACGGAGAAGTGAAGACAGGTGGGACTTTTTCAGTTGTAAGAAAATTCAGTTGGTTCGGTTCTACGTAGAAAGAATTGTCCGGTGAATGTCACTGAAGTGAAGACAAGCGGAGCTTTTTCCTCTTTCACTGTTGAGAAGATTCAGTTGGTTCGATTCTACGTAGAAAGATATGTCCGATGACTGCCACTGCGTGCACGTAACTCGAAACTTTCTACCTGGCTATAGGCCTTCCTGACAGCTACGAGCGAGTAGACGTCAGTAGCATATAGGCACACAGATGAATAGAGAAGTAAAGACAGGCGCACCTTCTTTCTCCGCTCTTGATCAGAAGATTTATTCCGTTCGATCCCGTTTACAAGGGTGTGTCTGACGACTGCCGCTCCTCCTCATGGGCTCGAAACTTTCAATGTGTGCACGCCCGCGTATAGCCCGGGCCGATAGCTACTACCAAGTACACGTCAGTAGTACATAGGCACACGAGTCGACAGAGAACCGAGTACAGGCGCAAAACTCCTCTCTTCCCGTTGACAAGAAGAGTTATTTGGTTCGATTCTAAATAGAATGGCATGCCTGATGACTGCCGCTGCTTCCTCGTGGGCTCAATATTTTCGATGTGTTCATACCTGCGTATAGGCCTGCTTGATAGCTACTACCACGTACATCTCAGTAGGACATAGGCACACAGGTCAACAGAAAAGTGAGGGCAGGCGCAACTTCTATTTATTCCGCTGGTAAGAAGGGTTATTTGATGCAATTCTGCGTAGAAGGCTATGCCCGATGACTGCCGCTGCTTCCTCGGGGGCTCAGTAGTTTCAGTGTGATTACAGCTGTGTATAGGCCTGGCTGATAGTTACTACCAAGTACACGTCAGTGGTACATAGGCACACAGGTCAACAGAAAAGTAAGGGGGGGCGCGACTTCTCTCTCTTGCGCTGGTACGAAGGGTTATTCGGTTCCATTCTATGTAGAAGGGTACGTCCGATGACTGCCGCTGCGCCCTCGTGAGCGGAAGACTACCAATGTCTGCACACGTGTGTACAGGCCTACCTGGAAGTACAGGTCAGCACTACGTAGACACACGGATAAACAGAGAAATGAAGACAGGTCGCTACGTAAGGAAAGAGCCAGCAGCCTACGCAGCATCAGATCAACTCCGTAGCACGCCACCAATAAGGTCAGTAGGCCTGCCGATAGCAACGAGTAAAGACAGCCCAACACACCGCACACGGCTCCACAGAGAGGTGCCGAAAGCCGCAACTTCTCTCTTTTCCGTTGCTGAGCATAGGTATCTGGCCCGACGGCTGCAGCAGCTGCATTCTCATGGGCTCTAGACTTTCTCAGTATGCACTCCTGCGTATAAGCCTGCCTAATAGCTACTAGTATGTCCACGGCAGCACTATGTCGACACGTAAATAGACACAGAGATGAAGACAGGCGCGACTGTGAAGAGAGCACCAGCAGCCTCACTGGCAGCGAATCGACTTCATAACAGGCAATCAGCAAGGAGGGGAAGACACCCCCGTCACATGCCAGTAGTCATGCGCAAGTCTACCCATAGCGTCCACCACCCTGTTGCTGCGGCGTCTGTGGCTCTCCAGTACGCCGCAGCATGCTATGTCTCGGCAAGCACGAGATGTTGCGTGTTTATGGAGCTCTCTTCATGGATGAGAAACATCGATCCCGCAGTGCACGAGACTAAAGTATCGGCGAGCCGACTAGAACGGCAGCACCGCATATGGATTAGAGTTTAGTACTGCGCTCCCGTAGGTCATAAGGAACCTCTTGGTCTGTGTTGCTTGGGCTTGCGTGAAACCCCTCCTACCACTTGTATCAGTCCGTGTTAGCGTGAAAATAGCAGCACGCTGGTACTCGCTGGCGTGCCGGTTTGCGGGTGCTGTCGCGCCCCTGAGGCGTATCCACGAATGAGAAGATTCTCATAGATAGCAAAATGAAGCAGCCAGCTGCTCCCCAGCGCCGACTGAGTTGTACGGTGCAGGGCACATCGGCTGCATATACATGTGTACTGCTCTTGTGGTGTACCTCTCTGTATTTTTAGGTATTTCGTTCGCGCTGTCGCAACTTTCCTAAGCGGTATACCGGATGATATGTCCACGAGTGTAAGTCGTGGGCCAAAGTACATGTGAACAACTTCAAACTCACAGAGCCAGGCAGCACGACTAAGCCGAATGTTCTTCGAAACACCGATGAGGGTGCCTGCCAGGGCTGTCTAGAGGACAGCTGCGAGAAACTTGTTCTGTATGAGGCTCCGCACGCAGGAGAGCGTCGAACGAGAAATAATCAATCATTAATTACAAAAGCAGGACATACGCGCAAGCTGCACAGGACCCACATGGCTTTTATCATCCCACCTCTCTGTCAAGCAGGTTGTCGGGGTAGCCGGACCTTCACGATTCAACTGCGTCTACGCTTCTATGCACAGTGTGCCGCACGCAGGGACCGCAGGCCACAAGCGGCGCCTAACGCCGTCGGCACACTCCAGCGATTGACTTAAAGTGACTTTCTGCAATGCCAACGGTACGCCGCGGACATATGGCTGCACGCCGCGTTGCTATTTCCAGATGCCACTTACGTCCTGGTTGTGATGTAAGTACTGGGGAGCAACGGGTGTCTTCGGCAGGGATTCAGGAAGGTGATTTTCCTCAGCGGCGTGATTTACAGTGGGTCGGACACGGGCACGAGCATTCCCAGCTGTTTGCAGACATTCGCACGCCGCCTAAGATGCTCGTGGAACTCCTGTAAGCTGGCCGAGTCGTGTACCAGGGCCACACTCGGCCACAAACATTCTCAGGTGTTGGCAGACGTGCGTGCGCTGTCGAGGATGCTCAGCGGACTTCTTCGCGCTGCGTTCTTGACGGGTGGCCAGACCCAGGCACAAGAGTCCCCAGGGCTTTGCAGATGTGCGTGCGTCGCCGAAGATTCTCATGCTACTCCTTTTCTCGAGGGTGCGTACAGGGAGGCACGCTGGGGCGCAAGCCCTCCCACGTCTTTGCAGACGTGTGTGCGCCGCCGAAGATGCTCATGTAACTTCTTTCAGCCACGTGGCTTGCGGGAGGCAGGTGACACAACCGTTCCTAGGTGCTGCAAATGTGCTTGCGCCGCCGAGGATGCCCACTC